TTGAGCCCGGGGGTTCGAGACCCGCCTGGGCAGCGAGACCTCATCTCTACAATAAACCAAAAAATCAGCCGGGCGTGGTAGCGCATGCCTTTAATTCCGGCTACTTGGAAGGCCGAGGCAGAAGGGTGGCCAGAGCCCAGCGGGTCGAGGCTGCGGTGGCCGGGAACGGCCACTGCACTCCAGTCTGGGCGACAGAGTGAGACCCCAACTCAAAAAAAAAAAAATATGGTGCTGACCTATGTCTACATTTGAACTGATAAGTTACAATCATTGTTAGATTGAAGATTCATTGTGTATAGGGAGAAATCACCTTTGTTAGATTTCACATGTTCCCTTGGTGGTTCACTTTTTGTTTTTTCCCCCACAGGACGACATTTGTGGCTTAGTCATTTTTGAATACAATCATAAAAAGAACATAAGCTCTGGAGTCTGACAGAGTTGAGTTTGAATGCCAGTTTTTTCCCTTGTATGGCCTTAGTGAAGTTATGCAGCTCTAAACCTCAGTTTCCTCATCTGTAAAATGGGGACAATAATACAACTTTTTTCATAGAAATATTTTGAGAATTAAATCTAATACTGTAAGATGCTTACAGTAAAATGCTTTACTAAGTGCTTGTAGCATAATAAGCACTTGATAAATATTGGTGGCAGTGACGATTATGATATTTAAGAAATTATGGCAAATTCCAGTACTGAAAAAAAGTGAAATTTTTGAGAATATTATTAGCAATAATAAAAACATACTGACAGTATGCTTTCATTTCCATTGGCTAGTATCTATTCTCATTTTTTGCAGCAAATTTTCCCCTAGCCTTTTTGTTTTTAATATTTGGAGTGTATGCCTGTGATAAATAAATAAATAGTATGCCTGTGATCATTTAAGTAATCTTATGTATCTTAAATTAAGCAGCAACAATTAAATGCTAAATGCTCTCTATAATCTTTTCTAGGAGGTTAAATTTTTCAGATCAACCAAATCTGACTCAGTGGATTAGAACAATATCTCAGCAAATAAAAGCATTACAGTTTCTTAAGAAAGAAGAAAGTACTCCTAGTAAGTTCTGGCAATCTCTTCATATTTCCCTAAAGTCTGAGGTCATTGGAAAATGTTTTTCCAGAAGAAACTTTAAAAATGAAACCTCCCGTTTAAAATTTTGACTCATTCTAATTTTATTTGTCTTAATAAACTAAATTTTACTTTATTACATACCCCTTATTCCTTAAGCACACAAGCTTATGTGAAGTTTATAATAAATACTTCTCACTTATTCCCCCATTTTGTTAAAGAGCTTCTGGAGGTGGAGAGATGTAAAGATATAACTGTTGAAGAACTAGCTTTAGTTCTTGGTGGGCTAACTCACTGCATTGTTGACATACCAAAGGCTTCCCAAGTTTCCATGCACTGCACTTTACAACCTATGGGAAAGTAATGTGAGCAGGATTGATATGGTTGGTTTACATAGAAAGAAAATAGCATACTCCTTTTGTTCTAGTGACTAGATGTGAGGAAAAGCATAGGTAACGGGAGAAAGTGCCTTGATCAACCAGAGCAATAGAGCAGCAGTGTTTCTCATGCTTTGTGTGGATGGTGTGCCAGTTTTCATTATGGGAATTTTTTTCTGTGTTCTGGTTTCTTTGAACTACATGACTGAAATGTATAGAAATAGTGTTGTCTGTTGAATAATGGTATAAAATGTCTGTGTCTGTAGAGACTGCTTCTTCAAAGAATTCAGAGAAAATGAATAAATTACAGCTCCCTGAAGGGTTTAGGCCTGATTTTCGTCCTAAGTAAGTATATTGTTTTATTCCTTTTAAGTTTAGCCCATTTGGAATGAAAGTCAGCAGTTATTAATAGAAGTTGACAAGGTAGGGAGCAAAGTGTTATAGGATACTGATCTTGAATTCTAAAGTTTAAGTAATACACGATGATATTTATTGAGGAATATAGAAAAAAATCTAAGACTCATGTGGCATGTTTAATTCTCGCCACCCTCTCCTGGTCTGCATTGTGACCCCCTGCTGCACCTCTTTACCTGGCTCTCCTTGGCAACATCTGATCAGTATCTACATCCAAACTGCTCAGCTTCCCCACCAAGTCCTGTGCTTTCGTCTGACTTTCAAATTTCTATTAATGACCCCACCAACCTCTGAGTAACCCAGGGTCAGAATTAATGTATTGTCAGACCTATTTTACCCCATAGCCAATTAGTTACAAAGTATAGCTTAGATTCTAGAGCTGGAATGCTTGGTTCATTTCCCAGCACCAGTTTTTATTGTTAGTAACTTTGAGTAAATTGCTTGACTTCTCTGTGCCTCAGTTCCCTTATCTGTTCAGTGAAGATAACTCATGGGTGTTATTAGGATAAAGTGACATAATCTGGGTAAAGCCGCCTGGAAGCTGTGCCTGGCATGTGCTTAAGTAACTTAATAAATATAGAACTAGAAGGCTTAAGCAGAAAAGGCAAAATCAGTTTTCTGCCTCCCTCACTCCTTCCCCTCAGCGCCCAGTTCCATCATTTTGTTTGTTTCTTCTGGTATTTACTTTCATATTTCTAGTTACACAGTGTCTTTCAGTTGATTGGTAACAAGTTTCACAGTTTTTGGTTAAATCCAGTTGTCAGTTTTTACTGTGTTTCTACAGATGCAAGTTGCATATTAAAATTATATTTTATTTCTTGGACAGCTTTGTCTTTCCTGTTGCTAATAATTACTGTGTAGTTTTTGTGTACTTGGTTTTCCATGTATGTGTGTATGTCTAATTTTTTTTCCTGTATGGTGCAGTTATCTTGACTGATGCCTAGCAGTAGCTTTTCCAAGTGCTCAGACCTATCGGATGATCTTCTGTCCTGGGCCCGACTTTTCCCACACAGCCTCTGTCCTTCTGTACCAATCAGTACAGGGCACAGCTGTCACTCTGAGCCTCTCCTTGACCATACTTCCCTTGGTTTCTGGATTATCTTCTTCTTTCTTAATTACTCTCTCTTTTGCATAGGTGCATCCTTCAGATTTTTTCAAAAGGATACTTGGATGTTAAATTTTCACAATTGAAAATACATTTATTGTATCCGTATGTTCAATTGATAGTTTGTGTGTTTTGGTTTTGTTTGGGATATTTTTGAATTGGGGTCTCACTCTGTTACCTAGGCTAGAGTGCAGTGGCATGATCATGGCCTCCTGGGCTCAAATGATCCTTCCTTCTGCCTCAGGCTTCCAAGTAGCTGGGACTACAGGTGAGCACCACCACATTCAGCTAATTTTTTAACTTTTTGTAGAGACAAGGTCTCATTATGTTGCCGAGTCTGATCTTGAACTGCTGAGCTCAAGCAATCCTCCCGCCTCAGCCTCCCAAAGTGCTGGGGTTACAAGTGTGAGCCACTATGCCTAGCCAATAGTTTGTATAGGAATTATGGACTAAAAATAATTTTTCATCTAGATTTTGAAGGCGTTGTTTTACTAACTTCTAATATCCATTGAATAATTAATGCCATTCTGATTTCTCTTTGTAACTTTTTTCTTTCATTTAAAAAAAATTTTAAGAGATTGGGTCTGTCTGTGTTGCCCAGGCTGGCCTCAATCTCCTGGGCTCGAATGATCCTCCTGTCTCAGCCTCCTGAGTAGCTGGAATGATAGGCGTGAAACACCATGCCCAACTCCTTTGTAACTTTATTACTTCTGAAAACTGTTGAAATCTTTTCTTCATCTCCAGTATTCTGAAATGTCTCTATAATATTACTTGGAATATCAATCTTTTTTCATTCATTTTAGTAGACTTTCAATAAACCTTTTGACAAAAATCTGAAGATTTGTGTCCTTCAGTTCTGAGAATTTTTTATGTTGGTTCTTAATTAATTTTCTTCTTGGATTTTACTCTTTGAGGTGCTCACCATTGGCCCTCTTGGACTGATATTCTAATTTTTTTACAAGTTTTCTGCTTTCTGCATTGTCTCTTTTTTCCCTGAATTTTATTTTTCTGCTTGCTTGATTTGGTTAATCTCTTTGATGCTTTTCTTAAATGTTTATTGATCCTTGGATAACTGTTTAGAATTAGACACTACCGGGCATAATGGCACACACCTATAGTCCCCAGCTACCTTTGGAAGCTGAGGTGGGAGGATCACCTGAGCCGAGGAGGTTGAGGGTGCAGTGAGCTATGATCATGCCACTGCACGCCAGCCTCGGCAACAAACAAACCAAAAAAGGCACTCAGAAGCTCATTGAATACCTGGTAGACAGACAGGGTGCTGACTTGTGAACCTCTTAGTAAAGTGATCAGGACACCACCAGTCTTTTACTTGAGATCTGCATTGCTCACCCCCTGCTACACCTCTTTACCTGGCTCTCTTTGGCAATATCTGATCAGTATCTACGTCCAAACTGCTCAGCTTCCCCACCAAGTCCTGTGCTTTCATCTAACTTTCAAATTTCTATTAATGACTCCACCAACCTCTGAGTAACCCAGAGTCAAAACTAGAGTATTTTTAGGCCTATTTTACCCTGTAGCCAATTAGTTACAAATGTCATTGTGTAGAACAGCTTTCCCCTGAGGATTCTTCACTGAAAAAACAAATCTCTGTGTCAGTAGGTATACATTGCTGATGTTTCCAGGATGGAAAAGAGGGCCAAGGGCCTCACGGTTTAGTATGTAAACTTTCACTTAATTCCCTGTTTTCAGCCCTGTGCTTCACCCTGCTAAATCAAAGAGCATACATCCTCCTAGGCAGGGACAATGTACATATCTCTAATAATCCCTTTGCATACACTGTCTCTGGATAAATGTTAAGTGGCTCAATTTCAGTTTAGCAAAGAGCTGTTAAGAAATTGAACCTCTAACAATAACCACAGCCGAAAAAATTAAGGAACTGAACCATTTGGTTGATGCATACCACATCATTTTGAGCTAATTTTGTATGTGTTCACTTCAGGAACCCTTATTCTGAGAGCATAAAAGAAATGCTAACAACATTTGGAACTGCTACATACAAGGTGGGCCTGAAGGTTCATCCCAATGAAGAAGATCCCCGTGTGCCCATAATGTGTTGGGGTAGCTGTGCGTACACCATCCAAAGCATAGGTAAGAGCTCACAGTTCTCCCTCTCCAAGTCACAAGCGTACATGGATATGAATTCTTTGTAGAATCTTATTTGTAAAAGATGCTTAAAATGAGCAACAATCAAAAAATAATACAAAGACTTAGAAGCAAGAAATGTAGTGTACTGACAAAATGCTAGAATGACAGTTTATAAATTAACCACCATAACAGAGAACTCATTTTGATGGTGGTTATAGCTTCATGGCAGTATAGAGAATATATGTTCATTTTTACTTTTCATCTGAAGTTAATTCTGGTGAAATGACTTACAGATTCTGAAAACTGACAATAGTGTGCTTTCTATAGAAAGAATTGGAGATTTTTTACTTTTTAAAAAAATTCTCCTAAATATATGTAGCATAAGACTTACCATCTTAACCCTTTTTAATCTTCAGAAAGAATTTTGAGTGATGAAGACAAGCCATTGTTTGGTCCTTTGCCTTGCAGACTGGTAAGTTCTCAGTTTACTCAATTCATGAAAGGGTGGAATGGAAGTTAGGTGGTTCCACTTCTGTAAGATTAGAAACTTATCAAAGGCCCAAACTTCACCTGTACAATGACCACTTGTATACCTAATCCTGAATTGTACACCACATCTTTAAAATAATTTTTTTTTTAAAAAGAAACTTATCAACCTGAAATCTTCCTTTAACCCTGTGTTCATTCCTTTCATAGTAAAATTCATTTTCTGTAAGGATATTGAAGAAGTAATGTTTATGGTTTAATATTTCTTTTATGAAAAGAGAGGTCTTTTCATCCAGAGCTCTTGGTTAAGCACTTAAAAAGATGGGGAAAAAAAAAACTAATAACAGAATGCTTATTCTTCAGTTTTTAATGCTATAATTGGAAATATAAAACAGAACACACATCTGACTTCCTTTTAACAGCAATATGTATAAATAAGTGCAAATTAGTGGCAAACTGAGTACATTTAATGCCTAAAAAAATGAGGAAGGACTGTATTTCTTGTGTAGCTGTGGTCTGCTAGTGTCATACACTTCCTTCAGCTGTTCAAGCTTTCAGTCATAGAAGTGCCTTTGAAAACAAAAATCATCTAATTTTATTCATACGGAATAAAAAAAAAAGACGCTTTTTTTTGATGCCCAGTTTCTACCACAGGTCAGTTAAATAGGAGTTTCTGAAGATGAACTCCAGCCATAAAATTTTTTAAAAACGTCACAGGAGCCAGGATTGAGAACCACTGATGTAAAGACCTAACCAAAAACCAAAAACTAGTATAGAAAATACATGTGATCACTTATCAACTAAGTTAGCTTGCTAGTTTTTGTTTTTATTGCAAACACCTAGAGTCTCAGGGACCCTATTTTATTGTTTCAAGAATGTAGATTAAATGTCAGAGGTTCTCAGCTAGGAATTACACATTAAAATCCTCTTCAGAGTTTTTTAAAAATAGAGTTACCAGGGTTCCTTCGGTCTTATTGACCTGGAATATCTAGGAGTTGGGCCTGAATTGAATCTTTATTGTAAATCAACTGTGGCAATTTGACTATATTATGATATATGACTATCAGGCCAGTGTTGACTGTTCTTTTTTTTTGCTACATAAAATAATAATTGATAAGTATCTTGATTATTGAAAAGGCAATACAGATGTATAGGATAGAGTTTGTCTAATTTTTAAGGCAGTTCTTATACTTCCTGTTTATTACACATTTATGTATTTTTTAATCTTATATTTTCTTGATTCTGCACACTTCAGACTATCTCTTTGGGGTACTGTTGCTTCTTCTGTATCTTTTTTTCTGTTTAATGGCTTTGTGTTAAAGAGTAATCATTTTACATTGATTAACTTTCACTAGTTAAACCAATCTTGTATTCCTGAAATCCTAACTTGGTCGTGTATACTATTCTTTTTATATATCACTATATTTGTTTTCTTGATATTTTAGCTAAGATTTTTGCATTTATGTTTATAAGAGAAATTGGCCTATATCCTTCCTTGTAAGGTTTTGGCATCAAAATTATTCTCACCTTATAAAATGCAGTTTATGTTTTAATTTTTTTTAATGGAGCTTTTTAAAGTAAAGGGTGAACTACTTCTCTTCCTGACTCCACTCTCCCATGTCAGAGGATAAGGACCCCAGGCAAGCTGAATTGTCTTTGCCCTATTATCTGGTCTCTGTCTCCTCCCCAGCAGATGTCCCTTCTCTTCTTTCTCTCCCAGCACTTCCCCTGTGAACCAGGGTATTCAGTCAGCCCTCCTCTTACTCTCGCCTTCATTGTTATCGCCTTTCTGGCTAGCTCCCTCACTCTTTCTCTCCATTTTCCAGCCAAGCTATTTTAAAGCATACTTAATTTTATTTTACAGATAATCCACGTGATGAAAATGTATAAATACATATTTAAAAAAAGAAAAGAAATGAAGTTTTTAATTTCATTTTATGTTTTTCCAGAGACAGAGAGGATCTGTCTGTCTTGTGTGTATTTAATTTTATACACAACAAACTTCTTTAAAGAATGATGTATTAGCCGGGCTCGGTAGCTCAGCCTGTAATCCCGCGCCTTTGGGAGGCTGAGGTGAGTGGATTGCCTGAGTCCGCGGGTTCGAGACCTCATCTCTACAATAAATCAAAAAATCAGCTGGGTGTGGTAGCGCATGCCTATAATTACGGCTACTCAGAAGGCTGAGGCGGAAGGATTGCCGGAGCGCAGCAGGTCAAGGCTGCGGTGGCCGGGAGCGGCCACTGCACTCCAGTCTGGGCAACCGAGTGAGACTCCAACTCAAAAAAAAAAAAAAGAATGATGTATTAAATTAGCCAGGCATGGTGGGGCATACCTATAGTCCCAGCCACTTGGGAAGCTGAAGTGGGAATGCTTGAGCCCAGGAGGTTGAGGCTACAGTGAGCTGGAATCGTGCCATTGCGCTCCAACCTGGGCAACAGAGCAAGACCCTATCTTGGGAAAAAATATATACATACATACATATATATATGTGTGTGTGTGGGTGTGTGTATATATGTATTTATTTTTATAAAATACTTTTTTAAAAAAAAGTATGTGTGTGTGTATATATATCTACTATCCATCTAGGCAACCAACCCTATTTATATATACACACATACTTTTTTTTTCCTGGCTCCAATTTCTTGCTAGCCATTCACATTTCAAGACTGTTCTTTCTCAGTCTGCTCTCCCTCCTCCATCCTATCTATAATTGCTATTTTAAGCCCCCCGAGTTTTGTCCTTGACCCTCAATCATCTGACCCTCTTCCTGGTCCGATTTCAGTTATGTCCAAATGGTTCCCACCTGGAGGTCTGTCTGACCCATACCTTTATCTTAGGCCCAGGCCTGTTATCTCTTTGCCTGCTTTAATCTTTCACCTGGATCTTCTAAAGGCATCTCCAATTCAACAGTCCAAATTATTTTTTTTCCCCTATATCCCCTGTTTTAGTTACTGTGACTGCTATCCATCTAGGCAGCCAAACCAGAAAATTGAAGTCCTGTTGGGTACACCATTTGGCTGGGCATTCACATCCAGTTGGTCAGTGGAGTCTGTTGAATGAATTGTTTCCATTCCTACTTGTTTGGTCCAGCCCTCTATCATTTTTTGCCTATGTTATTGTTACTGACTCTCACCCTTCTCTAATATATTCCAAAGGGTCTCCTTTAAAAAGAATGATGATATTCTTCATGCTTTTACAAACTTCTTAACCTGCTTCTCCATTATCACCTTCTGCCTGTCCCCACACCCATGGTCCAAACTTGTATAATCACTGCCGGTTCTTAAATGCTTGTTCCCAGGCCTTGCATATTCCATTTCCTTTGCCTGGGTTGCCTTAAGCAAACTCCCCCTTTTTAAGATGCTCTTCAAGCTTGTGCCTTCCCTGGTAAACCTTCCTGACCCAGGTACTATGAGTTAGGTGTCTCTCATCTGTGTTTCCTGCCTTCTTCAATTGTCTCCTTCCCCTCTTTTTCTTCTTCCACCCCCAGGGCCTTAAACTGTTTAAGAGCAGGAGGAGGGAGGGTGAGATTTCATTTGAAGGTCTTCATAACCTAGTGTGTAATGTTTATTGAACCCAGGATCAGGTGTGGTGGCTCATGCCTGTAATCCCAGAGCCTAGGGAGACCAGAGTGGGAGGATCATTTGAGGCCAGGAGTTCAAGACCAGTCTAAGCAACATAGCAAGACCCTTGCCTCTACACAAAATTGAAAAGTTAGCCAGGTGTGGTGACATGTACCTGTGGTTCTAGCTTTTCAGGAAGATCACCTGAACCCAAGAGTTCAAGGTTGTGGAGAGCTGTGATTATACCATTGTACTCCAGGCCGGATGATAGAACAAGAACTTGTCTCTAAAATGTGTGTGTGTGTGTGTGTGTGTGTAACCAAATAACATTACAGAAAATTTGGAAAATGGAGAATAAGCAGGAAGAAAAAAACTCATCAGCTTATCACCTATTCATCTTCTTCCATTAGCATATTTATATCTGATTATAATTGATGTTCACATGTAGCTTTTCTTGCTATATTCTTTTTTTTTTTTTTCTTTCTCTTTTTTTTTTTTAATTTAAAGACAAGTTCTTAGTATGTTGCCCAGGCTGGTCTTGAACTCTTGGGCTTACGCAATTCTGCTGCCTCAGCCTCCCAAAGTGCTGGGATTATAGGCATGAGCCACCATACCTGACCTGTATTTTTTACTTTAAATTGAGATTTTCTCATTATTCCTGTGTAGTCTTTATAACCATTTTTAATGGCTGCAGACAGCCTGATTTGTGCAGCCTTCTTGCACAGTTTCCCCAGTATTTGGAGTATTTTCTACATTTTAGAGGATTTTTTAAGAATAAATTTTAAAATACTGCATCATCATCTTGGGAGTGTCTTTTGCTTGTTGTCTATCTGATGCATGTATTCCTCTTTTCTAGTGTGTACCGGCAGTGTGGTGGCAAGGAGATAGCTTTTGTTTATTCGGCTTAAAACTAGACATTTCCTATTTCATTTATTCTGTTGTAGTGACATGCCATTAAGATATCACAGTTTCGCTGGGCTCGGTGGCTCAGCCTGTAATCCCACGCTTTGGGAGGCTGAGGTGAGTGGATTGCCTGAGCCCGTGGGTTCAAGACCCACCTGGGCAACTTGGTGAGACCTCATCTCTACAATAAATCAAAAAAATTAGCCCGGGCGTG